TCTAGGAAAAAACCCATTATTCTTTTCAAACAATTTTTCCCTTGTTCCATGTACACAGTTTTTGTCATTTGCTTTTTTCACTTAATGACCTGCCCAAGTCATTAAAGATACTTTTTAACGTTTGAATGATAGTCCATCCTCAGAATAAACTACAAATCAGTTAATTCTCTTTTATTGTTGATCATTCTGAGTGTTGCCATCTTGTCTGGAATGACACGATGAAGGACATCTTTGTGCACGAAGCGTTTTCTGTGTTTCATACCGTGATCCTGGCTTTCTATCCGAAAGTGAAATTATTGGGCCAAAGAGTGTCCACATTTCAGACTCTCCTCTTGCTGCCATGACTGGAGCATGTTCTAAACACTCTGTACAGAACGGCTTTGGGTCGCTCACGTCCACAGCATGGATGGGATGTGCTCCCTGGCGTTGGGATGCTGACAGGGGGAAGCAGCTTCATCCTGAGGTGGCTGGGGGAAGGGGCCTGCCTGGGAGTCAGGTCACCCGTGTGGATAGCCCGTGGTTCCTTCCCCGTGGGACTGGGGGAGCTGCTCAGCTTCGTGGAGACTTGGCTTCCTCACCTGCAGAACGGGCATCTCAGTGACGCTGCCTCGGAGGCTCGTGGGGTGGAAGGAGGTGGTAGTATGGGCAGGGCCCCGTGAGCTGCAGGTGGGGTGGCCTGAGCATGTGAGCGGAGTGCAAGTTCATGGTCTGGACACGAGGAGGGGCAGGTAAACCTCTCCCAGTCCTTTAGGGGATGGTGGATTTGGTCGGGGATTAAGAAGGCGAGGGATGGAGGTGACATCTGAGCCTCGCCTCGAGGATAGTGTCGTTCACAAGGTGGGGTGGGGTCCTGCCTGGGACCAGGTTGCACTCAAGCCTGGACGCGTGGCAGGGGAGGGGTCTGTCTGGGGTTTTGTAGCCCCTGGCAGGACATGGCTTTCATGGAGGTTTTGACTCTGGGATTGTGAGAGTGGGGCTCCCCAGGCCAGCCTGGAGGACGAAGGCTACAGGACAAGAGGGGAGGCCCGGCTGGATGGCTCTGCAGCGCGTGCTGGGCCATGTCGGGGGGGGGGGGGGGGCTTCATTGGGGGGGGGGGGGGGGGGGTGGATACAGGGTTGGGGAACTAGGACAACCATTGCTTTTCTGGAAGGGGTAACTTGTTTGGGATGGTTCATGACCACTGATTTAGGGGGTTCTTGAATTCAGGAGAAAGTGTGCTGTTATCTGGGGAGGGGACAGAAGGAGCATTGCGTTTGCACGTAACTGACTTGGGAGTGTCCGGAACACTCACATCATGACAAATTCATGTCATATCAGTTGGAGCTGCTTCTTTGTGTGAGACATGGGGCTGGCTCTGAAAACATGTGGGAAGGGGAAGGCATGACAAAGCCCAGGCTTCGGATGCCATCCCCTGATGAGGCTATGACCAGCAGACCTGGGGAGGGGACATGGATTTGGGGGTCATAGGCTTGCACTGGGAGACTCCCGGAAGGGGTGCGCATGGGCATGAAAGAGCCCAGTGTGCGATAAGCAAGAGCCACAGGATGGGGCGGCCAGAGGCAGCCAGTGCACTGGCCCAAGGGCAGGAGGGTCAACACATACCATCCCCAGGAGCATGGCTGGGACAGGAGGGACCTTGACGCTGCTTCCCCACAGGCGTGCTTGGAAGGGGGGCATCTGAGCCCGGGTCAGGGAAAGCAGGGAGGATCCTGGGCTTCACCTGAGAGCACACTGGGGTTCCCTCCCCACGAGTCCAGCAGGCCAGGCACAGCGGGGATCCCTCCCTGGAATACCATGGATGCAGGTACCCAGGTGGGGAAAAGCTCACTGAAAACCCATACCTCTTAGGAGGGTTTCCTTGTGGAAGAGGCTTGGGGCTGCTCTGTGTGGTTCCACCTGACACCCCAGTCATGGTCGCCTCGGGGCTGTGGAGTGGTCGGTGAAACTCATTTCGGCTCAACCCAGGAGCTTCCGGGTGTAGACTGGACTGCCTCAGGAGGAAGGCGGCCTGGGATGGAGTGTGGTCTGATCACCCCCCAGTCGGTCAGGGGAGGGAATGCCTGAGGGGGCAGGCAGGTGCCAACTTAGTTGTGTCTGTGCCATTCCAGACTTGGAGAGGCCCCCTTTGCAGCTGAGGGCTGGCGGGTACCGCACAAACCCTAATGCTGTTACAGGGTGTTTCCTGGCTCTGGGCTCCCAGAGCCCAGACAGAAGTCCTTTCTTTATTCAGCTCACATGGATGGGTGCCCGCTGGGGTGTAGACAGTGGGCAGTCCCGCTTCCATCCCGTGAGGGAGACAGACCAGCTGACAGGTGACACGGGGAACAGACCCACAGTGATGGGCCTCCCAGGCTGAGCCAAATGGGTTCAGATAACACCTTTCCTTGATGGCCGCTTGAGTGGCTCAGTTGGTCAAGTGGCTGCCTTCAGCCTGGGTCGTGGTCCTGGGCTTCTGGGATCGAGCCCCCGGTCGGGCTTCCCACTCAGCGTGGAGCTGCCTCTCCATCTCCCTCTGCTGTTCCCCTGCTTGTGCTCTCTCTCTTCAAAACAACAACAAACACTTCCTTGAAATTAGTTTTAATTACTTGCTAGGGCATGAACGTTGCTTTCACAGAAGTGGACAGACCACGTCTCGTAGGTGACCTCCTCCCGTGGACGCTGGTTTGGGAGCTGCCCGAGGGTGAGTTACCAGAGCTGCTGGGGGACCTGGCACCCGCATCTTCGCACGGGTTCCGCCCTGCCGGGTGCCTCCGAGCCTTGGCTGTCCCCAGCGGAACCCACAGAGGTGGACCTCGGGGCCGGCCCAGCTTGGGAAGAGGCAGCGAGGCTGCCTGGGCCCCTTGGCTGAGGACCTGAGTGTTGAACCTTCCAACCCTGCACTGTCCTAAAACTTCAATAATTATAGACAAAATGAAGATGACATTCAACTCGGCAGTCTCTCCCCCCCCCCCCTTTTTTTTTTTTTTTTTTTAGTTTTCTGAGCTTTACAGCTCGCAGGAGGGCGGTGGGATGTGTGCAGCGCATCCAGATGCCGGCGCGTGGGGTGAGGCCTCTGCGGCGCGGGCGGTGATCTTGCGCGCGGGCCGCGAGGTGCCGACTGCACCGGCCGCACTCGCTCGCGGACGCTGCTCGGTGCGGGCTCGGCTGTGAGCCGCGTGATCGCGCATGCTCAGCCCGCGGGTCGCCCGCGCTCAGGGGCGGGAAGCGGCCCACGCCGTGCGCTGCTGAGAGGCCGACGCAACGACCAAGTCGAGGGATTCCCCGCGCGTGCGCGTGAGAGTGCGTGCGCGTGCGTGCGTCCTGCGGGGACTGTGTGTGCTCGTGCTCGGAGTGCGCGCCACCCCATCCCCAGACCCTCTGTTTGCAGCTGCTGGTCCTCCCAGGTCCCCTCCTCCTGGCCCGGCGTCCGCCCCGCGGGCCGGCGTGTTCTCCGTCTCCTTCCTGCGGTTTCTGGGGACGCGTCTGCTCTCAGCCTGGTTCCCCTAGGATGGGGCTCTGATAAGGTGATAATGAGTGACCCTATTTAATGAGACACCCCTCTCGCCTCATAGCAGTGCGTTTTTCTGGGGGCTTCCTGGAAAATGTCTTAGCCCCAGATTTCCCAAGGAGCGCATGGAACACTCGTTTGGGTAGTTGTTTCCTCAAAAACAAAAATTAAAAATAAATAAATTCACATTGGTCAAATAAGAGGTAGTGCATGCCATAAGCTCCCTTGGGGACTTAACAAGACCGGTCACCTGTTAAAGAATCTGAAATGTCCTGCAGTCAAAACCAGGTTTCATCTAAGGATTTATGCACCCTCCAGACCTCTCATTCACGTGACAGTTGTCAGTGCCCTGTGGCTTCCTCTGGGAGGTGGCGTCTTTGACTCCAGAAGTCGCTGCACATGCAGCCTGCTGTAGGCCATCAGAGCGAGTACTACAGGCTCTGTTAAAATTAAAAAAAAAAAAAAAAAAAAAGAAGTTTTTATTGTGGGTAAAACATTCATCACGTGAAAGTTAACATTTTAACCATTTTCAAGTGGAAAGTTATGTGGCGTCGACTTTCACACTGTTGTGCATTCATCCCCACCGTCTTTCTGCGGAACGTTTCCTCTTCTAGGGCTGAAACTGTCCCCGTGAACTACCACTTCCCCATCGCCCTCCTTCAGCCCCTGCAAACCACACTCTGCTCTCTGTCCCTGCGAATGTGACTCCTTATCCTAGGTGCTTCCTGTAGGTGGAATCCTATGGTACGTGCCCTCCTCTGCCCAGCGCATCTCCCTGAAACGCCTTCAGGTTTTTCCTCGCTGTAGTGCGGGTCAGGTTCCTAACTTAGAGGCTGAATACTATTCCTTCGTGTACTACACATGTTTAGTCCCTCCGTTCATTTGTCAGTGGATACTTGGGTTATCTACACCCTTTGGTGCTTATAAATAATGCTGCTTTGTACAACTGTCTACTGTCCCCGTGCAGGTGATGTCCACTCTGTCCGGGCAGGGGGCTGGAAGTGGTATATTTTGTCCTTCTTTTTAGGGAAGACCAGAGTACTTTCATCGTGTGTCCTTGTGGAGGCTTTTTATTTATGGAGACCATAGGATACTGTTTGTGGACTGTCTTGCCCTGCAAGTTGACAGGTCCCACCTGATGGGGAGGCATGACGGACCCGCCTGTCACTTAGGGAAGGAACAGCCTCTGGGAGGAGGTGGCCGGGCTCCCCCTCGGGCCCCGCTGTGGCGGCCAAGGTGATGTTTTCAGGAAGGGGTCAGGCAGAAACTGGCCCTTTAGTGGTGTTTCCTTGGCTGACAGTGTGTTTGCTCAGGAGGAGGAGGGTATCGTCCTGTTGGAAACCTTATTCCCCCAGGAGCCTCAGAGTGGGTCATTCCTTAAAGCAGGGGGAGCCTTCCCGCCCGGGCTCTTGGCTGAGAAAACATCTTTTTAAAGATCATCTAACTGCTGGGGAGGCCGTGTCCTTGAAGATGATTTATTTCCCCTGACTGTGTTTCATTTTTCTCTCCTAGCTTATGTTCCTGAGGAAGAACTGAAGGCAGCAGAAATAGATGAAGAGAACGTGGAGGAGGACGGGCTGTCTCTGGACATCCCGGAAAGCGACTACGTGTGCAATGAGGACCCTGAGATCAAGGAAGCTCAGAGCTACCAGAACTCCCCTGTCAGCTCCGCAACAAACCAGGACGCTGGCTACGGGTCGCCCTTCAGCGAGAACAGCGACCAGCTCGTCCACTTCAAAAGCTCTTCCTCCAGAGAGGAGAAGGAGGACCCACAGGGCCCGGACAGCGTCTCCTACCCCCAGGACAGCTTGGCCCAGATCAAGGCTGTGTATGCGAACTTGTTCTCCGAGTCCTGCTGGTCCAGCCTGGCCCTGGATTTGAAGAAGTCGGGTTCGACCCCCAGCAACAACGATGCGGGCCAGAAGGAGGGCTCCACCCCTGCCCCCACACCCCCCGCCTGCACGGCGGGCGCCACGGGCACCACGGCCAGCACCCCCAGCTCGGGCTCGGGCTCGGGCTCCGGCAGCGGCGGCAGCGGCGGCTCGGGGTACGACTGGCATCAGGCCGCGCTGGCCAAGACGCTGCAGCAGACACCCTCGTATGGGCTGCTCCCCGAGCCCAGCCTCTTCAGCACCGTGCAGCTATACCGGCAGAACAACAAGCTGTACGGCTCGGTGTTCACGGGCGCCAGCAAGTTCCGCTGCAAGGACTGCAGCGCCGCGTACGACACGCTGGTGGAGCTGACCGTGCACATGAACGAGACGGGGCACTACCGCGATGACAACAGGGACAAGGACTCCGAGAAGACCAAGCGGTGGTCCAAGCCCAGGAAACGCTCACTGATGGAGATGGAAGGCAAGGAGGACGCCCAGAAGGTACTCAAGTGCATGTACTGTGGCCACTCCTTCGAGTCCCTGCAGGACCTGAGCGTCCACATGATCAAGACAAAGCATTACCAGAAAGTGCCTCTGAAGGAGCCGGTGCCGGCCATCACCAAGCTGGTCCCTTCCACCAAGAAGCGCGCCCTGCAGGACCTGGCGTCCCCGTGTTCGCCGGAACCCGCGGGGCTTGGTGCCGACGCCGTGCTCAGCGAGGTGGCCAAGGACCAGAAGACTGGCAACCCGTACGTGACGCCCAACAACCGTTACGGCTACCAGAATGGCGCCAGCTACACCTGGCAGTTCGAGGCCCGCAAGGCGCAGATCCTCAAGTGCATGGAGTGTGGGAGCTCACACGACACGCTGCAACAGCTCACCGCCCACATGATGGTCACCGGCCACTTCCTCAAGGTCACCACCTCGGCCTCCAAGAAGGGCAAGCAGCTGGTGCTGGACCCGGTGGTGGAAGAGAAGATCCAGTCCATACCCCTGCCCCCCACCACGCACACCCGGCTGCCCGCCACCCACATCAAGAAGCAGCCCGACTCCCCTGCGGGCACCACGCCCTCCGAGGACAAGAAGGAGCCCGAGAAGGACAAGGCGCCAGCGGTGGGCGAGGCAGACAAGAAGGTCAAGGAGGAGAGCGAGGACACCCCCGAGAAGTTCGAGCCCACTGCCCTGTATCAGTACCTCCGCGAGGAGGACCTGGACGATAGTCCCAAGGGCGGGGTGGACATCCTCAAGTCCCTGGAGAACACGGTCTCCACGGCCATCAGCAAAGCGCAGAATGGTGCGCCCTCGTGGGGCGGCTACCCCAGCATCCATGCGGCCTACCAGCTGCCCGGCGCTGTGAAGCCGCTGCCCGCCGTGCAGAGTGTGCAGGTGCAGCCGTCCTATGCCGGCGGCGTGAAGTCGCTGGCCCCAGAGCACAGCGCGCTGCTGCACTCCCCGGGGAGCCTCACGCCGCCGCCGCACAAGAGCAACGTGTCCGCCATGGAGGAGCTGGTGGAGAAGGTCACCGGCAAGGTCAGCGTGAAGAAGGAGGAGCGGCCCGCTGCTGACAGGGAGAAGGGCTCCCCGGCCAAGGCTGTGTCCCCCGTGGCCAAAGAGAATAAAGACTTCCCCCGCGCAGAGGATGGCGGCAGCGGCAAGGCCACGCAGAAGAAGGGCCCGGAGGTGGAGGCGGGAAAGGCCAAAAAGGAGGGTGTGCTGGACACGCACACCCCGAACGGCACCGAGCCTCTGAAGGCCAAAGTCACCAATGGCTGTAATAACCTGGGGATCATCACGGACCACTCAGCGGAGCCCTCCTTTATCAACCCGCTCAGCGCGCTGCAGTCCATCATGAACACGCACTTGGGCAAGGTGTCCAAGCCCGTGAGCCCATCGCTGGACCCGCTGGCCATGCTGTACAAGATCAGCAACAGCATGCTGGACAAGCCGGTCTACCCCGCCGCCCCCATCAAGCAGGCGGACGCCATCGACCGCTACTACTACGACAACAGCGACCAGCCCATCGACCTGACCAAGGCCAAAAGCAAGCCCCTGGTCTCCAGCGCGGCCGACCCCGTGGCGTCCCCTCTCCGGGAGAGCGCCCTCATGGACATCTCCGACATGGTGAAGAACCTCACGGGCCGGCTGACCCCCAAGTCCTCCACGCCCTCCACCGTGTCCGAGAAGTCGGATGCTGATGGCAGCAGCTTCGAGGAAGCACTGGATGAGCTGTCGCCCGTGCACAAGAGGAAGGGACGCCAGTCCCACTGGAACCCCCAGCACCTGCTGCTCCTGCAGGCGCAGTTTGCCTCGAGCCTGCGGGAGACGCCGGAGGGTAAGTACATCATGTCGGACCTGGGCCCGCAGGAGCGCGTGCACATCTCCAAGTTTACTGGGCTGTCCATGACCACCATCAGCCACTGGCTGGCCAACGTGAAGTATCAGCTGAGGAGGACAGGGGGTACCAAGTTCCTGAAGAACCTGGACACAGGGCATCCTGTTTTCTTTTGCAACGATTGTGCCTCTCAGTTCAGAACTGCTTCTACGTACATAAATCACCTAGAAACACACTTGGGCTTCAGCTTGAAGGATCTCTCCAAGCTGCCACTAAATCAGATTCAAGAACAGCAGAATGTTTCAAAAGTCCTGGCAAACAAAGCCCTGGGCCCGGTCGGGGCTGCCGACGACGAAGGGGGCTCCACATTCCAATGCAAGCTTTGCAACCGGACTTTCGCAAGCAAGCACGCAGTCAAACTGCACCTTAGTAAGACCCACGGCAAGTCCCCTGAGGACCACCTGATCTACGTGACGGAGCTGGAGAAACAGTAGCGTCCAGAAGCACGAGGGACCGCGGCACATTGCACTACACGTTGTCTTTGGACTGCACTAGGCCTGGGCTGAGCCTCCGAAATCAGCCTTCCCTTTGTTGCCGAGCTGGCTGTCTGGACCTTGGTTTTTTTCTTACACATATTTTGTAGTTATATTTATATGCTCTTTGTCCGATTGTGCATGTTATTTTTCTTTTTCTGTGAGTCAAAGTCTGACCTTTATTTTCAACATCTGTTCTTGATGTTAAGCTATCTTCTGTAGGAAATAGTGGGCACACTACTCAGAGACATGCATTTAGCAGAGAAGAAAGACACAAATAACAATGATAAAAAGACATCCTAAAATTACAAAGTTGCCATGACAATAAAGGTCATAGAACCTGGTAGTGTCAAATTTAACCCTTTGAGGACTGCAATTGCATTTCTGTGCCTTTCACTCAAAAAAAAAAAAAAAAGAAAAAAAGGCTTAAAGGCATTTCATTCAGATCAAAAGCTGTGTCAGACACAAAACTTATTTAATAATTAAAAAAATGAGCTTTTATATGCAGAACTGGTTTGTGAAGGAAACATGCATGCAGCTGTCGGAAGATAGAAAGTTGTCTAGGAGTCGTGGGGTTAGGAAGCCACAGCTTTACACATTGAAAATGAAACAAAACAAAAAAAAACACAAAAAAAACCACCACCACCACCACCACCACCAAACACCCCAGTTGCCACTATGCCCAAACCCTCTGGATGCTGAAAAAAAAAATGCCACTTTCGGCAAAAAAAAGTATGCAAGCTATTATTTAAAAATGTGTAAAAATGCTATTTCTTTTTTTCCTGTAAAATACTGCGGTTTATAGTTATTTACAAATGTAAGCTTTGGTATAAGCTGACCTTTCTATAGCGTGCTGCATTGGTAAATGAAAAAAACATGGGGCAAACGTTGGAGTCCTTTCCTTGTAAATTGCCAGCATCAGCTTAAAAACTCCTCTATGTTACATATCGTACCATTTTAATCTATTCAACTTTCTTTGTACCTTCTGGCTGTATGCTTTCTCTTTTAACTTTTTATATTGTCATTTTATATTAAATTTCTGTGTATATAATGTAAAACCACAATTTTTGAATAAAATTTAGTTCCTGCAGCTTGATTTAAATAGAGAAGTTTTACTGGTACCTGCGTCTTTCCAGATGCATGTATATCAGACAAAAATAAATAAATGGAAACAAAGCAAGCAATGCACTATTAATTATACATTTTGATGTTCTATCATTAATATTGTACAGTACATTTTGGTTCACACAATTAAATCCACTGTTTTCTCAAATGTAAAATAAACCCACAAGCAGTTCTTGATTTACATAGATTGTCGTGTCGTCATTATATTGCCTTCGAGAGGTCATTTCAGCAGCAAGAGGTGTTGCTCATGCGGTCAACCAACAACAAGTTGATTCGGAATTCTCTCTGCGTGGTTTAGATGCCGACGTGCTCCGTTCATATACGTGTTGCATTTTTAAAAAATAATCATGAAATGTGTTAACTCTGCCGGGGGCCACGGATGACGGAGTTGAGCCCCTGAGTGCTGGATGGCTCTTCTGTGTAGACGCGGACCGAGGGGCCTCATCCAGAGGACCTTTGTGGACCATTTGGAAATGTCCACAGGTATCTGTAGTGCAAATCCAGGGGTGAGGGGGTGAGGGGCAGAAGCACAATTCTTGCTCTGGGGGCCTTGGAACTGGTTCTGTGTCGCTCCAGAGAGGAGCCCCTGATTTCTGTCCATGACCCTGCATGGTTTTGTGCTTCCAGGTGGGGTCCGTGTGCCTTCCGCAGGTCCCCCCGGCGCACCGAGGGCTCCACGGAGGCGTGTGAGCGGGCGACTCCCGAGGCCCCCTCTCCAGGGGCTGACGGCTTCCGTCTGCACTGGGGGGAGCACCAACGTCATGGCCCCAGACCCTTTCCTCTCCAAGAGTGCTTCCTGACACAAGCGGAAAATGTCTTGTTCTGCCTTTTGCTTCAGTTTTCCATAAAATTGTGTCCTGAGAAACGTTCAAAGGCATGGCGCTCGGTTCAGAAGCAGCTGAGCGCTGGCCGGGATGGCTCGATGGCTCTGTTTCCGCGGATGACTGGGCGAGGGGTCATGGCAGGTCCGGGCACCATATTGACACAGTCTTTTGCTAATGCCCAGAGAGCCAGGGAGGCTCGCCACAGTTGTCCCCACTTTTGTCATTGGTAAATAGCTCTGTCTTCAGGAGCTTCGGCCGTTTAGACATTCGGTTCAAGTACTGGGTGATTATGCACAAGGTGTGACAGAGAAGAAACACGAGGCCTATGGCAGGAGATGGGGTCTTTGCATAACAATCCTTTGAAGTCATATCTGTTTCACCACGGCGGTGGGGGGGGCCCGGATGCGTGGTTCGGCAATTTCACCCTGCGGCAGAAGTTGGAAGAGCAGGTGCGGCGGTGTGCGGGGAGGTCAGGGGTCTGGGCAGGGTCCACTGGGGTCCGTCCCCGTGGGCAGCGGCTAAGACATTTGGGAGCTGCTCGCACTCGAGTCCTGACCGCTGGGGCTTGGGCACAGAATTTGGGTTTTCCTTTCTTCTTCTTCTTCTTTTTTCCTAATTCATAATCACTCACTTATCTTGTCACCCATCCTCGTTGTCATGGCCCGGGGGTGGGGCGTTAAGTTTGCCACTCGTCTGCGAGCCCGCACGCGAGGAGCCCAGCGCAGCCGCCGCCCAAGGTCACATGGCTTGTGATTCACAGAACTAGGGCTCAGAGCCCAGGAGGCTTTGCCAGGCGCAGCCCTCCATCACCTACTTTGATCTGCCCCGGGAGGAACCTGCCCCAGGTGGACCTGCCCCGGGTACCTCGGTGAGGGTGTGGCAGTGAAGGGCTGAGCATCTCTGGGCTGGGGACTCCAGTAGGGCTGGTGGGTCGGATGACACCGATGCACAGAATGGGGACGGGCCCAGAGCAGACGTGCGCTCTTCAAATGCCCTCCCAGCACAGCCCACATCCCACCACAAAATGGGACAGCTCTGTCTTCTGTGGATCTGATAAGTAAGTTGAAATCGTGTTTGTTGTGATTTTTT